CTATCAAAATATTATCCTGATTTTCGAACAACAAATAACTTGACTCCTCGAGTATTTGGTTGTGTAGCCTTTGTTCATGTTCACAGTCATCAGCGAGGTAAACTTGATCCACGAGCACTCAAGTGTATTTTTGTCGGATACTCGAACACTCAAAAGGGATATMAATGCTATCATCCTCCTTCAAAAAGGTTCTTCATCTCTRCTGATGTTACCTTTTATGAAGACACCAGCTTCTTTACCTCACCTTATCTTCATAGGGAGGAACTATTATTGGAAGATAAGGATTTGCCCATTCCCAACCTCACATTTCCTATATCAAATCCTTTACCACCCTTAGACACCTTACTAGGACCATCTAACCCTTGTACTACTACACCATTACAGGTTTATTCAAGAAGGAACACTGAAAAAGATAAGCACGTCCAAGAGTCTGAACATATCCCTGTAACTGAAATTGACGAGAAAATAATCAATGATGAATTAGACATTATAGTATCTACTAATGATGAGTCAAACATTACAATATCTGCTAATGATGAGTCAGACCTGGATTTGACGATTGCTTTAAGAAAGGGAAAACGGACTTGTACTCAGTATCCATTGTCTCACTTTGTATCATATGACAAACTTTCAAGTCAGTACACAAGTTTTATGGTTAACCTTACTCAGATAAATATTCCAAAAACATATATGGAGGCAATACAACATGAAGAATGGAGGCAAGCAATGAATCTTGAAATGGAAGCTTTAGAAAAAAATAAAACATGGGAGTTGGTTACTATGCCTAAAGATAAGAAAACTGTAGGATGTCGATGGATATATACTGTAAAGTATAAAGCAGATGGAACACTCGAGAGGTACAAAACATGGTTGGTTGCTAAGGGATATACTCAAACATATGGAGTTGATTACCTTGAAACCTTTGCGCCTGTTGCCAAGATGAACACAGTACGAATACTTCTATCTCTTACTGTAAATCATAGATCGGACATGTTACAATATGATGTAAAAAATGCTTTTCTACATGGTGATCTTGAAGAAGAAATTTATATGGAGATTCCACCTGAATATCAGCAAGCAGGAAATAAAGTTTGTAAATTAAAAAAGGCGTTGTATGGATTAAAGCAATCTCCTAGGGCATGGTTTTGTAGATTTTCTCAAGTCATGAGGAAGATGGACTATAAACAAAGTCAAGGAGATCATACATTGTTTATAAAACATTATGCTACAGGGGGAGTAACAACATTGATTGTTTATGTGGACGATATTATCGTCACTGGCAATGATAATAATGAGCAAGAGAAACTGATAAAGTGTTTAATCCAAGAGTTTGAAGTTAAAGAATTAGGAAGACTGAAATATTTTCTTGGGATAGAAGTAGCCTATTCTAAACAAGGCATATTCTTATCACTGCAGAAATATGTGATTGACTTACTTTCTGAAACAGGAAAGCTTGGCAGCAGACCAATAGGAACGCCGATTGATCAAAACCATAGATTATGTGCATCTGAAGAGAGTCCTCCAGTAAATAAGGAAACTTACCAGAGGTTAGTTGGAAAATTAATATATCTTTCTCATACGAGACCAGATATTGCGTATGCTGTAGGAGTGGTAAGCCAATTTATGCATAGTCCAAAAGAAATTCATCTTCAAGCTGTGTACCGAATACTCCACTATTTAAAGAACTCCATTGGGTGAGGATTGTTGTTTAAGAAAGGCGAGAAACTCAATCTAGAAGTTTATACAGATGCAGATTATGCAGGATYGATAGACGATAGAAAATCCACTTCTGGCTATTGTACTTTCTTTGGTGGGAACTTAGTGACATGGAGAAGTAAAAAACAAAATGTAGTTGCAAGATCAAGTTCAGAAGCGGAATTTAGAGCAATGGCATTGGGCATCTGCGAATTACTGTGGATAAAAATTATTTTAGAAGATTTGAAGATTCCATGGGAAGGGCCTATGAAACTTTATTGTCATAACAAGTCTGCCATCAGTATTGCACAT